TCTTCAATACAATTCATTTCAAATAATTTTCATCATACCATCGCTACCATTATCATTCACAACCCCCGTTCTTGAATTATTCCTTCATCTTGTAACGATTCTAATCAATAGTGAATCAATTCTTATCAAATTCACTAATCAACACATTAATTTATCGGTTAATAAATAAAAGTTCTGTTTCGAGTAATTCATTACGTTATGTGCTCATTAAAATTTGTTTGTGTTCTGCTCTCTGTACGTTTCTATTAGGTCACAAGTCACTCAATCATTCACCTGTATTACTGCTATTATTATCATTATTCTATCATNGAAACATTCACCAGACTAGACTTCAGCTAGATTCTGACTAGACCTCAAGCTTACGTTCCCTATCTAATAAAGCCTAGTGCCAGGGCAGGCTTTCTTCATTCAGATCTTCACTTCCACTTATCATATCATAATCGTTATCATTATCATTCACCCCAGAAACTAACTTTAATGTCTGTAAAAAATCTCTATCGCATTCTATCCATTTTCTTCGCTAACCACTCACAAAAATAAACAACACAGCAACATCACCGTATCTATCTAATAACATAAATCTTGTCTGATATCATCACAACAAACTTCATTCCATCTTCTTTATTTCAGTTTTATTTGTCGTTGAAAAAAAATTTTTGTCCACTTTTTATTTATTTCGTTGCATTTCATTGCGTTCGTTTCTCACATACAATATCACGCTCCTATGTCCCATTCCAATTCTAATTCGCATTCACTTCACATTACTCACACTGAATTCCAATTTCTTTCTAATTCTAAGCCAAAAATCAAAACAACATATGAAACAATTCAATCCAATTCAATTCCTCTGACCAGACCGGACAGTTTGCCTAAAAAAGTTCTGCCTAATGACAGTTTGCCTATTAGGCAAAATATCCATTAAAAAAGCGTCCGTTAGGCACGCTCTCCTTAGGCAAAACGTCTTTAGGCGAATTGTCCTCCAATTCCATTCCATTTCAGATTATTCATTCAATTCACTCCTCTGCACTCTCTCCCTTCTTATCTTTCTGAATTAAATAACACTAATTTGTTTACAAAAACTTGCAAATTACTATTCAACACACTCTGCTTACATTGGGTTTATGCTTTATGCTTCTTATCACTCATATCTATCAGCTAATCAACAACAAATAATCGCACTAAACCGGGCACTATCTCAATAATAATAATAATAATACACCAACAGTACTCCCAGTCCTGCCCTTCCCTTATTACTGCTTCATTTGCAATTATCAACTTTATTTGCACCAACTTGTCTACTCATCACCACCTAAGCAATATTCACAATCAGTTAAACCTTGCTGTGCGAGCCGAGCCGCTCTCCAATCAGCTCAATTCGTTTCTCTGATCAATTTCCTATTCGATACTGCCTGCAATCGTTAATCCAGCCTAATCCTGCACTGAATTATCTCGTTCAATCACCCAACTAACCTTCATAACAACACCACAAACTTTGCACATTAATTCAGTTTTTTCAACAAATCTCAAATCTTTCATCCAAGCGCCACATCGTTTTTTGATCAATTAATTCAACTCGTTTATCTTCTCTAATCGTGCCAAATCAATCACCACCACCACCACCATCAACTGCTCACTCCATACACCACACTCCGCTCTACTTAACCACTCATAATACTTTTTACTTACTTCTATTCTCAAATAGTCCACGTTTAAAAACCTTTTTCTGAAGAAAAAAACACACACACAAACGCTCATTAATTACATAATAAAAACGCTCCTTATACCACTATTCTATTCTAAATTCATTAATAATTCTTTCTGCACAAGCCGTTCTCCTCACTAAACCATATATTCAACAAGACTTCAACTGTGAAAACTCACTAAAATTTTTTTGCTGCTGCTCTAAAGTCAGTGTTCACCTTATTGTTGTTGTTGTTGTTGTTGTTGTTGTCAGCTAATAGTCTGTCCAAAAAATTAATTTCTATTATCTGATTCTCATTTCATTTTCAAAATTTCACATCTCTCTTAAGTATCGAGCGCTACTCTTAATGTTTTCGGTGAACATCAGCACAAGTTTCAGTTAAGCTTTCAAATGAACACAGCAGCCTTTATATCGCTTGATAGCCAAGCTCAGCACATTAGCTAGCTTTGTGCTCTGAATTAAGCTGAATCTAGCTCTAAGCCAAGTTCCATTAAGCCACATCAACTACGCCCTTAAACACATCTATCTATGCCCTGGCCACATAACCAACCAACCCTCTAATCAGTTTAATTCTTTTCTCGTCCACAGTCTACATTTCTTGCTACAGTGTTGTGCCATGTCAAATAATTTCAAACTGTTTCACTCCAAAAATTACACTTCAAAAATTTTTTCAACATTCAATACACTTTGCAATATTTAATAAAATAAATAAATCCTTTATCCCCCAATATCGCTCGCCTTTTCAGTCAGTTAATCATAGCAGCTAAGCATTTCAGCTACTTGTCGCATAATTTCCTTAACAATAACAACTGAAACACTAAAAGAAAGTAGTAATCGCAATCTGAACACAGCACAATCAGAATCCTTTCTAATTCAACAACAAAAAATCTAATCCATTTCAAAACAATCTGCAAAATCCATCATCTCTTATCTCCCCATTCATCATCAATACATCCATCTATCCATCCACACAAATTCATCTACAAAAATACATCTAAAATAAACACAATCAATTTCTTTCTAGATTTGCCATATCAGTTTATAAATCCTCTGTTATATCTCCTCAATCCGCCAAGAAAGAGCAATCATCAAATCTTGACCAAGCAGCTAAACCACCACCTCATTAATTAAGTCAATACCGCTAAACTTTATCATAATCCTTATAAATAAATATTCAAAGTGTACGTGCTAATCAATAAATATTTCTTATTCATTTCATTATTTCCCCATCCAATACACTCACACTCGCGTACATTCCACACATTCTTGGTCTCTTATTTCATTCAATTTACTCCTTATTCATCCAGCATCTGCCTAAAACTAAACCAATTCATAGCAAAAAACTGTATGCAACTCAAAACTCATAAAAAACTATCAATACAATACAACAAACATTACATTATCAACTATCAATCATCAATTTATCACTATCATTATCACTAAGCAATTGCTTGCTGTCCTAGCAGCAACTGCGTGCTTGTATTGTAAGCATCACACATTCCTATCTAAACACACACGTCTTCTATAATCTTTAATTTTTTAAACCAATCAAATTCCCATCAAACAATAATAATAATATTCATATGGTGAACGAATAGTTCTGTTGGAAAACGGATGGATGCTCTGATCACACCACTGATCATTCCATGATCACATCACTGATCATAATCTCAGACCACTACTTCCCATCTCACAACAAATGCAATCCTTTAATCTACACATCCACCTATTGCTCTTCACCTTAATTGCTCATAATAATAAACCACTAAAAGATAACCAACTACTTTAACACCTCTCTAACAAAACTACTCCAAAAAATTCTTAACACCAGTATCATCATCGATTAACGACCAAAAACCCTCTGATAACATCACAAACTACATCCCATCCCATCCCATCCCATCCCATTCCATTCCATTCATCCACTTACCACACAATTCTCACCTCATCAACAAACAAACAATTTATTAATCGCAACACTATCACTATGAATATCACTCACTAATGTATTTTATCTATTCTTAACAAGATTATCACTTGCTATCGGCTGATTCTTTGCTGACGTCTAACCAATGATTCACTGATTATTTTCAAACTTGCCCACTATATCTTTAATCCTTTACCACCTATTTGACATTGTTTATCGATAAAATTTACATCTTTTAACGAAAGGTAAACCTTCCGGGCAGTTTAGTATACGATATAATGAACTCAGTCTTTGCTTTATCCAAGTCTTTATTTCTTTACACTTCGGCTTATGTTTGTTCACAATTAGTTTAAAAAATGTCAACGAAGCCGAGACAGACACACCTCAAGTACTCAACAAACTTATACTGATGTGAAAAACAACTGAAAAAACATGAGCGATAGATATATGGGATAGCTGTGTTCATACTTATTACTATTATTATTATTACTATTACTATTATTATTATTGTTGTATTAATTATTATCAAAGTAAATTTAGTTGTTACTATTATCATTCACCCATTAATTCTACTTCTTTAATCTACTGCCTCCTGTGTTTTGATCATATCAAATGAAGTGTTCAGCGCTTTAAACGTTTTCTCATTCTGCGATAGCTCACCAACAATGTATATCCATCCATCCATCCATCCATCCATCCCTTTTCTTTATTACAGGTAAACGTGCCAAGTAACCAGTTTAGTGCCGTTGGTCAGATAGATATCTGACAACATAAACAACAATGACTTTAGTACAAAATGGTAAGTGCTATGTAACACCTTATATAGAACACCTTACACTGCGCTTGGTACTCACTCCTCTGCTAGCACCAATTTTTATAACATTTCAGATGAAAGGCTAACCTCCAATGACATTACCAGTAACGGACAACAACTACACTGTTAGTACCACTCATTTACTTAACAAATCAAAACATTTTATACTCAAAAACATCATCTAATCTTACAATTAGCCTAATACATCCGAATCCGAATAACCTATGAAACTATGTTGCTGTGGAGAAAGAAACAAGTCGGTAACCCCGAAGATGCATTCGGCTCCAAAAAATCTGCGACAGAGACGGGACGGGACCTCTGAAATTCGCCGATTCCCGCCCGCAATACACTATATGAAATCCTCCTCAGACTGCCTACATCTCCATCAATCTCACAATCAGTTTAAACGAACAATCTCAAAAATGAATTTATCATATGGCCCAGTTTTAAGTAGACAACTTGTAAAATAAAAGCACAATATTACTGTGAGATGATAACTGATAATGAGCACTTTTATGTACAGTACAGATAATTAATGGTGTTCAGATAGTCCAAATATGGAAAAACAAGGAATGCTATCAGAGAAGGGGCCCGCAGATAAGGGTCATCTGGTTTATCTGATTATGCTATTGCATGGTGTTGGAACTTTGATGCCATGGAATATGTTCATCACCATTGCGCCTGCGGTACGTACGTGCTTTCAAATTTTGAAACGCGATTACATCTCGTGCTTTGCTTATTATTATTATTATTGCTACTACTGATATCCGAGTGGTACTACTCCAATTGCTGCCACCAATTCTACTAGTATTTTCGCTCATAGAGCTTGCAATCGACATGACATGCATTTCGGGTGTCCATCGAGCGACAAACGCTTTCGGTGGTCACGGACAAAGTCCTTTAAATCCTTTTAAGCAACCCATTCAACTGCACAGTCAATCATATTATCATTGAGAGAGACACATTAATTAATGTTGTGACAAATGTGGTTGGTTATTTCAGTATTTTGTGAATTACAAACTGATGGAGACTGATGAACAAGGCGTACGACATTCTACGCCGTATTCGCGGAACTTTTTCAGTTATTTGGGAATATGCTCGCAATTGCCTTGTCTCTTAATGAATCTGATCAATATATTTATTGAATCCAAGTGAGTTCGGTTACCATTCATTTTATTTCGTTTATTTAAAACTTATTTATTTTATTGAATCCGAGGGAGCTCCTTGCCCATTTACTTATTTTTTCATACCATTTTATTTGTTTTCTTTCATTACCGTTTGTCATACTGTTTTTTTTTAGCTTATTTTACCATTTATTTTACTTTATTATTTTTCATATTGTTCCGCAGCAGCAGTCTTTTAGTTCCATTATAGAACTCCTTTGATTGGTAATCCTGTAGTTAGTGGCTATGACAATAAAGGACTGCAACAGTCGACGCTCGCTATTCCCTTCGAGCAGTCCGCCATGCGTGGGCGTACCTATCCATTGCCCGAACTCGGTTCTCGCGTGCGGCCAGAAAGGTCAAGCTCGATTCGCAGAGCCCATAGCACCTTGTTTGCGGTCGACGTTCCAGCAGCTTTGTTGCCACTACCACTAGCATATCTACAGGATTATCCATCCCATCTATTCATAAGACGGTAGTCTATAAGATGATGCAGACAAGGATAATCAATACTTGCTGGAGTGAGAATAGTTTCATAATTTGACAAAAGAGAAAGTTCAAGGTACTAGCCTCTGAATTGTCGTTGTCACATGTAAATATCATTTGTGTTTAATGGCACCACTACAAGACTGCGCATCCATGCAGTCGTCATTCCAACTGATCCAATAATCATGCATTCAATATATCTTAAATTCTCGACAAGCTGAATACTCGCGAAGCTGCCATACCATCTAGCAAAAGGCAACAAAATTGGACAAATCAACACAGAACGGACACGAAAACATCTCACAATCAGATGCAAACCAAAAAAGCAAATCAAAAGCAAACTTCACAATCCAAAAACACAACTAACTAAATAAATCACAGCACAAAGTTTACAAACAAACACAAATAAGGAATGCAAAAAGCCAACAACATAACAAAACCAAACATACGTCAGTGCATTAAGGCAAACTGTCGTGGAATAATCCATTTTGGATTTTTATTCATAATTTATTCAAATTATTTAAATGATTTATTTTTCTAGAACATTTTATCTGTCCACACTCCATTCATCATCACTTAATTCATCCATTATATTCCATTTTATAAATGTGATTGCTCTCACAACCGAAGAAGCAATCAGTTGATTTATATTAAATTTTGTGATTATTCATATTAAATTTTAAACTCCATATTATATTTTCATCAAAACGCAGAATATGTCGCTTCCATCATTCAATCCATTTATATTCACTCCACCATATCCAAAACAAATCCAAATCCATCAATATCCTGTAAACTCCCATCCAATCCACATAAACCCCATGCCTACGTGCACATATCAACACTGACCAACACGCCAGCTCCTAAAGAACGCTTCTTTAGGTTCGCAATCGGCGCGAAGTTCAACACAGCACCCTGACAGCTCTATTTTCAAATTTCAAATCTCCACTGATTACAGCGCAATTTCCCTTCACCTTTGACGTATCATAATAAAAATATTAATAATAACAAAAATAATCACTAATAATAATAACAACAATAACTGTAATAACAATAATAGTAATAATAAGGCATTACAATCGTATTTCCTCGATTAACCCTTATAACAACCACGATAGCAACAATAATGATAGCAATTAAGATAATTAATGATAACAATTATGGAAACGATCTTCACTGTTGCAGTTAATAACTAAACAGTTAATAAAATAACGACATTAAAACGAAATAATAATTTGAAGACAATACTCAAAACGCAAACAATTACTTACCTTCCACCATTCATCTCTACTTATCTCTTGGTATTTCATATATCAGTAAGCGTTTTTACTCTAGACATAAGAACTCTACAATGATATTTTTATATAAGAACTAATATAAGAACTCAAAATATTTTTACTCTATATATAGACTCTAGAGGCATCTACTATCTCCTCATACAGCCACCAGCTCTGCTCATTAAAACGTTCTGTTCACTGCTCCCATAAGCTTTAGCTTCGTAAATAATTTACAATAATAGCGATACAAAGTTTTAATAACTTTACAGAGGTGGTTTAGTAAGGCGGATAGCCGTCTCGTTGGTAGTTGTTGGATGTATTTGTGTGATTACACTTCTGCTGGTTCTTGTGGATACGTCTCATAGTGAGTTAGTTTTGCTTATCAAGCCAATCACAAATCAAAACCATACCTAGACCAATTTCAGTGGTGACCACATTCTTCTTGATCACCATGATCACAGTAATGATACTGAACGGTGCGAATGGTATTTATCAGAACTCGATATTCGGCCTCGTCTCTGCATTCCCACAGCAATTCACCAACGCCATCGTTGTGGGCAATAATCTCTGTGGAACATTCGTATCTCTCATCAATATAGTCACATTACTTGGTTCGTTCGTTCGTGACTTTTTATTTCGAAAACAATCTGCAAATTTATACGGGCGGGTATCGATAGTACTATGCTGCGTGTTTGGGCACCCCTTTCAAACCCGCTTTCTAAGGTCACACTTTATAATATTAATCAATATAACGACAACAACAACAACAATAATAACAATAACAATCAAATAACCTGGATAATGCAAAACAAAATAATAAAACCCTTTATTTCAGTGGCTGATACCATCGAAGTGGCCGCAGTCGGTTACTTCGCAATAGCGCTTCTAACCGTTGCAGCGTGTTTCGGCAGTGTTTTCATATTACCCAAACTGGTGAATATCTTTTTTATTCAATTAATAACAATAATAAAAATAATAACAATAAAACTAATAAAAATAATCAAATAATTCAACAGGATTTCTATCGATACTATCAGAACAAAGCTGCTGAAAGCCACAAAGACATCGATTTGGATCAACCGAATAAACCTAATGCAAGTAAACTGCAACTATACCTTGATGTTTTTAAACAGGTCGCCATTTATTATTATTATTATTATTATTATTATTATTATTATTACTGATAGTTTTCAGGTTTGGGTGCAATGTATGAATGTTTTCTTAACATTTTTCGTCACATTAACCATCTTTCCTGCAATTATGGCTGAAATAAAGTTGTACCGTGCTGATGGCAAATACGACTTCATTCTGCCTGGTAAGCCAAATGAATTCACTTTTAATTTTATCGAAATTCCATGTCGATCGAATTAATCGATCGAAACCCGAATTCGGCAGTTCTGATCACTGAAGTTTCGGATCCACTGATTCGAAAAAAACCAATAAAATTTCAAAAATTTTCTAATTTTCCAAAATAAATTCGACAATTCCAGAATTCTTATTCACGCCAGTCACCACATTCCTCTTGTTCAACCTGCTCGCTATGATTGGTTCAACTGTGGCCAATTTCGTGCAATGGGTAAGTTTGTTTAAATTTTTGAAATTTAAACTACACACACATTCCAAAATAAATCCTCTGATCAATTTTACATCAGCAATAATAATAATAATAATAAACAATAACAAAACAACCAAAAAATCGCAGCCCTCACCTCGATTCCTCTCGATTCCCGTTCTGATCCGATTGTCTCTAATCCCGCTGATGATGTTCTGCAACTATCGCCCGGCTCGTCGCACTTGGCCCGTCTACTTTACCAGTGAATACGTCTACTTCGTATTCGCCATTATCATGTCATTCACCAATGGTTACTTCAGCTCGCTGGGCATGATGTACGCTCCGAAGTGAGTTCTTTATTAGCACCTTTAATTGATACGATCTGATAAATCTTTTGCAGATCCGTTGATAAATCAAAGGCTGCTGTTGCTGGCATGATGTCTGCGTTCTTCCTCATTTTTGGTTTGTCTCATTATTATTGTTATTATTATTGTTATTGTTATTATTATTATTGTTATAACTTTAATTAATTACAGGTATTTGCTGCGGTGTGGCATTCACCTTCTTCGTAGCATATTTCACTGATTACCTGGGACCGAATGCACAGCTTTTGTTACCGTAAATGGGAACTGATAGATAGATCACTAGATGAATTAGTGACGTTACTATTTTAATTTTAATCTTTACTCGTTAAGTTTTGTTTTTTGTTAATACTCTCACTCATTTACGCCTATTGCTCACTTACGGTTTGTTTGTTATTATTATTACTTTTACTATTATTATTGATTGTTACTATTATTATTATTATTGATTGTTATTATTGTTATTATTATTGTTATCATATTCGTTATTGTTGTTGTGAACGAAACGTTTAAAACAACTTACTATTTACTTATCAAATTACTTTTTCTGTTATGCGCTCGCTCACAGTCAATTCAATTCTTATATTCATCAGTGCAGTGAATGTTTACTCTACATGAAAGTGTGAAATATTTTTTCTTCAGTGTGAAATAAAACGGTGTGCTGCCTTCTAAAAATATATTACTGACTCACCTAAGCCTAAGCCTACTAAAGTAAGCTTAAGCTGAATAATACCAGTAATAATAATAATAATAATAACAATAATAATACTAATAATAATCCGATTCGATTCGGTGTGCCTTCTGAATTGTTTTTTTGCGAAGAAATTACTTTGCAATCAAATTATCTATTAATTAAATTACTCATCACTTACCAGTCAAATTAAACACTTTCTTCCGTCAAATCGTTTAATGCATCTAAATTTTAAAAAGTCGTTGTAATTATCTTATTAATTACTTTGTTATCATTACTTCCCTAATCAATTTCTCTAATCACAGCAATTAAAGTGATGTGCCATGTTTGATTGTTTGTTATTCGATGTTCCTTAATCAAATTTATAAGCCATCAATTGCAAATGCTGAAAATCGAATAAAATTAAAATGAATAATCGCTCGTTTAACTCACCTCACTTAAAATCAATTCCTCACCTGTTTCTTCTTCAAATCACCTCATCAACATTTACAGCATCATTCCACAATCTTACAAACCACTAATAACCATAATCATCTCACCCAAAACTCAACGCAACTAATAAAACCAAACTAACAAAATAACGCAACAAATCGCACTTCAAACGTAAAAAATGCTATCAAAGAAACAAACGAATAATTTTATACTTATGATTA